TCTCCACTGTCTGCGCGGTCTGCAAGCCTGGTGCTGCGCGCTGAGCAGGGCCGGGAGGACAGGGTGGCACAGGGTGAACAGGAACTTTCAGACAAAGTCGAGAGAACACACATGAATTTGAAAATAAACAAACCAGACAGACAGACCCACGTTTGGCAAAAAGACGTGGAAAACAAATGGACAGACAGAAGCAAGGTAAGGAGTGGGAAGGCAGGAAGTATACCTTGGGCTGACTGGCCGAGGGGCCGCACTCCCTCCTCCCTGTGCCCCGGGCAGGAGAGGCAGGTAGACCGACACTGCCTCTTTTGGCCTCACTGAAGATTGAGAGACCTAGGCAACATCTACAGGACAAACTAACAGAAAGCGACTGAAGAGCCCTTTGAAAGGCTGGAGGATGTAGCTCCCGAGAATTCTAGCTGCCCCCTGCAAGCCTTGCGGGGCTGAGTGTCTGGAACCTGTGCCTCCCACAGGGCTGATGGAGAATGGCAATCCACAGGAGCTAGTGGCCTTCTGACACCTCCAGCCACTGCGCTGAGCGAGTAAAGCACTGGACCCATGAGGTGGCTGTTCTGAAGGTGAAACAAGTCTTCATTCCAGGGCGTGATTAAGAGGATTACAAACACAATGTGGAGCACAGTCTCGAGTGGAGCCGGGAGGGAACTCTGACCTAGCCTGCTCGGGTCTAGAGAAGTTGTCCTCGGAGCCCGAGAGTGAGTGCACACAGTCGGAGGAGGCCAGCGCTCACAGCGTGATGAACACGGTTCCTTTATAAGAAACGACCCCGAGTCAGAGTTTAGTATCATGAGAAGAAATCGGGGACATGCCTTCAAATCACACCCTGATCAAATCTAAAGTTAGGGCTCCAGGGAGCAAAGTCACCCTCGACCCCTGACCTCTCCCTGGGGATCCAAGTCTAGTGTGCACAGTGAAACGGGTAACTCAAGACTGACTGGATCACAAAGCGTATTTGCTAGCCGACAAAAGTCAGCTTCCAGACTCCTCTCTGATCCTGACTTAAACACGTTTCCTCCCGAGAAGTCTGGATCCTCTCTGGAACGGCTCAGGCCATCCGTCCGGGACCCTCAGAGAGGTATTGTTTGTCTGCCTGAAACTCGCTGCTGAGGGAAGCAAGCTCAGGCCACCCGACACGGGTCCTGTGCACTCGTGGCGGAGGGGCCTGGAGAGGCCACATAAGGTAAAGGCGGACGTCTGCTCCTGTCTTCCTATCCTGATCTTCTCCCTCACAGCAGGGGTTGCTCTTTGCAAAAGGCTCAAGGACTCTGCCGGAGCCTTCTCACTTCTCTGGGCAACTTGCTGCCAGCATCTTAGCACACCCTATGCCTTCTTCCCAGGAACTGCCGGGCCGTGGATGGGGAGGACCAGGGTGAGAGCAGGGGTCAGAGCAGAGGGACGGTCTCCCACCAAGTTCAGGTTCAGCAGACTGCCACTCACCAGGTAAGCAGACCTCAGAGCACAGCTTATTGTCCAGTGCTTTCACGCTTGCGATGTCAAAGTCATTGTTATTGTCATACTCCATACCTAGAAATGCGCTTGTCCTCTGGCCTGTAACGGAGTTAATGCAGTTAGAGAGGGGCTGCATTGTCCTCTGCTTTGCTGTCCTTAAAATAAAAATCTTAAGGATGGAGACACACAAATCAAAGCAGATGTTAAAAAAAAGACGATAACTAAGTGGGTAAAGAGTGGACAATAAAGGCATCAGGCTGGGTGGGTGTGTCTGCGTTCTTGAAGCTATCCTGCTCTGCGTTCCTAGCTGGCCCCTTTCCATCCATTGTTCTGCAGGGAATAAGTCAGGTCACCGAGGAGGGCCGTGCATGGAACACAGGCTCGGCAGGAACCACTGCCGAGGGCAGCGCTGTGCCAGAGGGAGGCCGCCGAGAACAGGGCTGGCAAAGCTGCCCCCGCCCAGGCCTGTGTCTGTCTTTGGTGCGGGGCGGGGGTGTTTATGACCATAAGGCTCTGCAAAATGAGTCAATACGTAAGACAACAGTTAAAGGTCTCTGGTTTCCTAGTTTTGTTTATTAGATGGGAATCACCACGTTTACAGAATTGAGATTTACTCCTGTGTGAGACTTATTTTGTAATTTTGAGTATGTTTTAAGTGACTGACATTTAAGAGGGGAGGGGAACGTTTTAGAACTTATTTTTTCAAGCTCTTCCCTTTTTTCTGGGTGAAAGGGAGAGGAGAAAGGATAAATCCGCCATGGAGGCTATGGCATGTCAGGGGAACAACCCACAACCTACATGTTTTAGGACCAGATATTCTATGGGGGAAGCAACACAGAAGTGACTCTGGAGTCCTGAGCACTGAGCCAACGACCCTCCGAGACCCCTCTCAGGCTGGGGGGCACAGCCTTATCGTCATCCTTGCCCTCAGCCGGCCAGGTGGGAATTGTCAGGTCACATGCACACGCTGGACCTCCCCAAGCAGCAGCCAGTGCTAAAGCAGAAGCAACTAGGCTAACATCTGCAGACAGGTCTGCGTCCAGGCTGGGCCCCGAGTGCTTTGGAGGTGCCCTCCACGGGAGGCGCCCCAGAGCAGCAGGGGGAGCGAGTCTGGTTCCAGGAACACCTGGGATTTCCTTCCTGGGGTGTTTCCCAGCCCCTCTTCTTCCTATTTCCTTTCTCTGCAGGCTGTTCCTTCCCTGCTAGCTTTACTGGAAACAAAATCCTTCCAGTAAAGAATTAAGGCCTGGATAATGGTAAAGCAATCATTACAGCAGCCTACAGAACACTTGCCTGAGCTGAGCTGCTAAAGGAACGTGTGTCTGCTGCCTTGGCTGCCCCTTTAATGTGTCTGCTGGCTCCGAAATCCTGTTTACAGCAACATCAACCATTTTCTCAACGGCAGCAAAACCAAACCGACCGCCAAACAGTCCTTTCTCCCATGTGGAAGAAGCGGCTTTCTGCTTCTGCTAACTATAGGGGCTGCTAAAGTGGCACCGCGGGGCTCAGCTGAAAAGCCTTGGCAGGAAGGGGGCGAGGGGAGGTGCCCAGGAAGCTTCAGAACCTACTAAATGTGCCCGCAGAACCGTGTGTATCTTCTGCAGCATCCTCATCCTGACATCCGGGCCTCTGTGTCCCAGAAAGAGCTGGGAAGGTCCCTGAGACCGTCCGGATATCCTGCTTTGATATGTTATCCAGAAGACAGCCTTTCCCCGACAACCACGCGCTGAGCAGAGCCGCCGAGTCACACTCACTCCCCCGTCTTTACCCTTTAAGAAGCACCCGGGAAAGGAATGTAAGAGGGAGCAAAGGACCAGGTCTTTTACCGTCTTCCTGAGTGGGGGATCCATCCTCTTCCTCCGGAACGTCATTTCCCTAGGACAGAAGAAAGACGCTCTGAGTCTCAGTCAAATGAGTCCACGGATGGGCTGACGACAGAACTGACCATCCTCCCGGTGTCTACCTCCAGGTCTGCCTCAGAAGTATCACTTCCCACCCAGGTTCAACATGCCTATGAGGCTGGACCCTGGCCGACTAGACTGTGCTCAGGAAGGCATGCTTGGCCAGTAGGGACCAGGTGTGAGTCACATTACAGATGAAGACTCAAAGTGGTCTGCCAGGAATACCCTGGTTATAGCTTAGCTGACCATAAAACTTCCAGAAATCCGTTAGGATCCCAAGCCCTATCCAAATACTCCTTTGAGACTCTCTGGCTCAAGAGAACGTTCCCGTGCCCCTGTGAGCTGGGTGCTCCCACAGCACTTCCCACACCTCCATCAGGGACTTCCGGCACTGCCATCCTGTCTCCCCCTGGACCAGGCTCAGGCAGAAACCATGTTACTCATGCCTTCACGTCCCCAGTGCCAGGAAGTGTCTGCAACAGGGGCACCTTGTGTCAATATTCACTAAGTGAATGAAGGACACATTCTCCAGGTCTAGGGTCTGGCATAGGAGCCCTGGTGGTGCAAACAGTTAAGCACTCACTCAGCTGCTAACCAAAAGGTTGGTGGTTTCAACCCACCCAGCAACTCCACAGGAAAAAGACCTGGCGATCTGTAAAGATTACAGCCTATGAAACCCTATGGGGCAGTTCTACTGTCACATGGGGTCGCTATGAGTCGGGATCGACTCGACGGCACCCAACAACAACAACAGGGTCTGGTATGGAAGTTACCTCAAACTCGCCTCGTGCCTATCAGTGCAAACCACAACGAGGGCGCCCTCTGCTGTCCTCCGGTATTTCTCCAACAGCCCCTGGACTACAGTGTGGACTGCTCTTGCCTCCACCTGTCCCCCTCGGCCTAATCTAAGCATGCCTCTTAGGAAGACTTCAAGTCACAGCTCCCCAACCTTAGTTCACCCCAACCAATGCCAGGAGCATGGCCGTCTCCACTGGGGCTACCTCTGCGTCCTGCTCTTCGGCTGGGTGGCCAACAAAGTTGACATCTGGAGATTCCAGTGGCAACACCTGCAAGACGAAGACCAAGGGCACAATGACCATCACAGCTCTTCTCCCAAGCTCTCCTGACAGCAGAGAGCCCAAGCAAGCCCGACACGGCTTCCGTTACAAAACTGGTCCCAAAGGGCTAAGACAATATTCCTAGATCAGAAGAGTCCACAGAAGGGATTCCTGGAGTGGATGACTGTTACCTTGCTCTCCACGGCACTCCTCAGCCCTCTGCAGAGACCCTGGCAGACCCCTTACAGGGAAGCAAGGTGATTCCTGGATTTCTCTCTTACCTCTCCTTCCTCTGATGGGGCCCTCCTGGCAGCCTGGGGGGAAGGGAGAGCCTCTCCCTCTTCTTCCGGGCCAGGGGGGATGTAGGAGCCGCCGGACATGGAGGAAATGGTGTCGGTGCTGATCTGGGAGTGCTGGCTCTGGGAGGACGCCATGGACATAACCGACTGGGCCAGGCTGCTGCTGGCGGGGTCTTTGGAGACAGGAGTCGAAGGGAACCCCGCGCATCAGTACCAGGCAGGAGACTGGCGTCACACGGTTTCTGTAAGCTTAATGGGGAGGAGCGCTCTGTCCCTGCACGCAGGCAGCCAGGAGCAGTGCCCTTACCTTGCCCTATCTACAAAAGGTCTGAGATGAAAGCGTTTCCAAGATTCTATGTTTCAGAGCTCAGAACCAACCTCAGGAACCAGGGTTTTGTTTTTCCCAGTCATGTTACAGGAAAACCTTACGGCAGGGCGGGGTAAAACCCAGGACTCTCCCGGCTCAGACTGCCCTCTCATCTCAGGAGAGCAAGCCTCCCTTCCCTCTCACATGGGGCCACTTCAGTCATGCTCCCAAGCCCACCGCTGCCCGCTCCCTCAGGTACCTTCTGGGGAGGAAATGGTGGAGGAGAGAGGGGTCCCTGTGCAAGAGGACTGATCAACGGCTCCAGACGAGGACAAGGTCAGATTCTCACTTTCTGGAGTATCACCATATTCCTGCGGGGTGGGGGACACCAACGCAAGTGTGAGGAGGGAGGGTGTGAGGGAAGGGCTCGGGTAAGGATGAGGAGGAAAGGGGGTGCTGGGAGCTTGGGGACTGAGTGTCATGCAGAGCCCAGCCGGCTGCTCTTCTTTCTATCATCCCTTCATCAGCCCTGGCCTGAATCACGCCTCCCAGGGGACGAGCCAACTTCAGTCAGCACATCCTGCCTGAGGCACAGCAGCTGCTGGGGCTGCACAAAGCCTGCGGCTCAAGTGACACAGGTCACCCAGCAGCTGCGACATGGGGACACCCAGCAGCATCAGCAGGGTTGGTGTCACCCGGTGCAGTAACTAATGGTGTCACCCCCCCCATGCTAATTACCACAATATTGTAGGTGAAACACCAGAAAATGTGATAAAATCAGCAACTATAAAAACACCAGTAGCAATGAAAACAATAGCGCATGCTCGTAGTGCATGCAGACGAAACCACGTGACTCAAAGTGTTGTTGTAACTGGGTACTAATGACAGCTCTGACCGGAGAGCATTAGAAGGTTCAAAAAGTAAGAAGTTATAACTAACTACGGGGATATTTTTATAGGAAATAATAAATTTCTGCTAAAACTCTGCATAAAAATTTTACAGACAGTCATTTTGGTGTCACCCCCTCTGACAGTGTCACCCAGTCTGGTCTGCACCCCCTGTACACCCCAGTGATGCCACTGGGGACCCCCCAGGTTTCCCCAGGGTTATGAACTGCTTTCCTTCTGAAGACAAAAGAACAGATGCCACAGATGCCAGCAGAGCGCCCCCCCTGCTAGGGTCGCCCCTTGGCCGTGCGTTGAGTTCAAGCTCAGTCCATCAAAAACAGACACCACGTAGCCTCCCCAACCACACCTTCCGTTCCTGATCCTGATCCCCACCTGTCAGTCACCTGGACAGAAAGCCTCAGTGCAGACCCAGGCAGATGCAAAGTGGGGTCGGTTCTATCTCTAAACCCATTCCTTTTCTCCAGGCATTCTTTTTCAGCCTAGCTCAGACATCAGCTCTTGTTTGGTGAACTGCTTCCTGTCCCTGGTCTGTCTCCTGTCCAATCCCCTCCCGCCTCTGTCAGGTGGGCCTCTATGAAGGAAGGCTCTCCCCATATTGCTGGCCTGCTCAAAGCCTGGCTTCCTGCTCTGCGCCTGGGCAGGTACCGTCCTCTGCCTGGAACGTCCCTCTCGCCTTTCTCATGTCGAAACATTTTCAAGATTCAGCTCAACGGCTACTCCTCTCTAACACTTTTTCTGATTTCTTCCACTTAATAGACTCTTTCCCATCTCTGCCACAGCACTTTATTGTCCTTGCTGTGAGTCCGCTTATCATTTTCTATAGTTAAAATTCATTCATTCAACAAATACTTAAAACCCAGTCGCTGTGGAGTCAGTTCTGACTCATGGTGACTCCTCAGGAGAACTGTGCTCCGTAGGGTATTCAATGACTGATTTTTTGGAAGTAGACAGCCAGGACTTTCTTCCAAGGCACCTCTGGATGGACTCAAACTGCTAACCTTTCAGGTAACAGCTGAGCGCATTAAATGTTTGCACCACCCCGGGACTCCGGTAACAAATATCTACTGAGCAGCAACTATGTGCCAGTATGTGGGTGGTATTCACGGACAGGTCCTCCACCCTACTGGGCCATGAGCTCCTAATGACAGGAACCATTTGATTGTCTTTGTATGCTCCACTGTACCTCGCCTTTCAGAGAACCCATTGCCGTGGAGTCGATTCTGATTCACAGCGACCCCACAGGACAGAGTAGAACTACCCCACTGGGTTTCCAAGGAGCGGCTGCGAGATTCAAGCTGCTGACCTTTTGGTTAGCAGCCAAGCTCTTAACCACTGCGCCACCAGGGTGTACAATAAACCTCTGGTTAATAAAATCTGTGAGGGACGCACGGGTAGAAATCCCAGGCTTTTTCCACTCCGCCACACTGGCCTCCCAGCGGCCTCCTTGGGGCATCCAGAACACCTTCCCTCAGACTGTTTCCCTTGCTCTTCCTTGATGCCTTGAAGGCTCCTCCCTCAGGCGTCAGCACAGCTCGCTCTCTTACCTCCTTGGTCCCCTTCTCCAGCCCGCCCTGACCCTGACACTCCCTTATCTAAGCACCATCTGACACACACATTTTCTGCTTACTGTCTTTGGTGCCCACCCCACCCCAATTATCAAGAATACAAGCTCCATGAGGGCGGGCATTTTGTAGTTCTCACTGCTCCTGTTCTCAGCACAGAGAATGTTGTTATTAGCTGCCACTGACTTGGCTCCTGACTCATGGTGATCTCATACACAAGACGGGAAGCCCTCACTGACAGACGGGTGGTGGCTGTGCATGAAGGTGCACTGGCCGGGAATCGAACCAGGTCTCCTTCATGGAAGGTGAGAGATCTGCCACTGACCCACTGCTGTCCTCTAGCACAGAGAACAGTGCCTGGTAAATGACACAGGCTCAATGCCTTGCTGAGTGACTGAATCTAACCAAACCTTTGCTGCTACCCACAGGGTGTTAGAAAGGTGTTTGATGAATGAATGAAAGCAGAGGACCTGATGAGACGCACAGGTTGGAGGACAGTGCCCGGAGCCCAACACCTGAGAACGGGAGAAAGATGCACATTACTTCTCTGAGATATTGTGCAGACCGCCTCCGAGAGAGGTGCGTCTCAGACTCGCTGCAGGAACGCTCGTCTTCCTCCTCATGCAACACAGAAGAATTCTGGGAAACGGACCTGTAGAAGCCGGGGAGGGGGAATTAGCTGTATCCAACACCCACTGAAAGACCAGAGCTTCACCTGTACTCTCACTACACGGACGAAGAGAGCAGCCGGGGGGAATTAAAGGGAAAGCCAAATCTTAAGAAGGACAGGGAGGTGGGAACCAAGCACTGGAAATGGACTCAGGCCCCTTCTGGGTGTCAGAAGGTCTCAGTTTTAGCTTTAGCTCCTTCAATAACTTGCTGTCTGCACTTGGGGAAAAACACTGCCATTTTCAAGATCTCAGTATTTTCATCTGTAAAATAACTTCCTTCATTGTACCACAGAAATACTATGATTTGTGCTTAATTGGACTTAAATGTTCAAGATCACAAGGTTCCTTCAGCTCTCAGACTAAGCGATGCCCTCCAGGGCCTGAGTGACCCTCACAGTGCTTCCCCTGTCCTCAGTGCTTAACCTCCTCTTCCTTTCTACCCCCATTAAAAAAAAACACATTTTAAAGAGATTTGCCTGATCTGTATTCTCCTAAGTACCCATGTACCACCTTATTTTCCTGTCTTCAGAGATGGGATCCCTTCCCCTCCAACAGCTAACCTCAGGTCTTCAGTGGGGCTGAGAAGCTCTCAGAAGATCCCAAGGGCCTACCAGGCCCTGGGGGTCAGGATGTGAGCCAGCACTGAGGGAGTGAAAGATGGGCTGAAAGTATCTCACAAAGAATTCCAGGGTCAACGTTGTTGAGAGCTGGCACTCACTTGGAGAGGCTCTTTTTGAGCTTGAGTCCCTGGCTGCTGCAGTCTGACAGGCGGTCGAGCGGGGAGAGCGTCCTGACAGGGGGCAGATGACCGTCACTGCCATACGAAGGCAGCATTCCTGAGAGGTGGCTGTCTCCAAGCACGTGAAGTGGAGGGACCGCTGGGGATGGTGTGAGCGGCCCGTTGAGGGCCTCTAGAAGAGATACGACTTCATAACCTGGTGGAACGTTCTCTGAGGACTGGGGAACCAGAGACAGGGTGAAAAATTAATTAAACACTCTTCTTCTCGCGGCATGCTCGTGTTTCTTACTCTATACTGGAAAAGTGTTTTCTTTTACTTCTGGTCTGGGTGCTGGCGAGGAAAGCTTCCGTACTGGAGGCAGAGGAAAGATAAAACGTCAAAGACTGCATACTCCTAGAGCCTGCTGAAGGAAGAACTTTTTCTTAATGTTTATATTTTCTGATTACGATAGAAATATATGTTTATTACCGGGAATTTGGAAAATACGTACAAGGAAAAAAAATCACCAATAATCAAACCACCGAACAACGATAACTTTGGTTAACATTCTAGTGCGTTTTCTTGCAGTTTTTCCCTCTGTACTGTTTACATAGTTATGATCCATCTGTAAATAATAATTGCTGATTTCACCAAACATTAATATTTTTATTTCTGAAACCTCTTCATATATGTCCTCTTTTCACAGATAACGTAAGTTTCCTAACTGTTCTATTATTGTTGCTGTTGGGTGCCGCTGCCTTGATTCCCACTCATAGCGACCCCACGTGACAGAGCAGAGCTGCCCTGTTGGGTTTCCTAGGCTGTGATCTACAGGAGCAGACTGCCAGGTTTTCTCTCCCGTGGAGCGGCTGGTGGATTCGAACCGCCGAGCCTTTCGAGCACTTAACCATCGCGCCACCAGGGCTCCTCCTGTTCTACTCGTGCTGGATATTTAGTTTGGTGCATTGTTTCCTATTGTAAACAATGCTTTGATGAACATCCTTGTGCATATATCTTTTTTTTCCAGATTTTTTTGCTTGGTATTAAATTTTTCGACCTTAGATTATCAGGTATGGATTTTTAAAAAAATACTTTATTGAGTTTTTGGTGAAAGTTTACAGAGCAAATTTAGGTTCTCATTTAACAACTTCTACACGTATTGTTCAGTGACGTTGGCTGCATTTTCCACATTGTGTCAGCCCTCTCCATATTTCTGCTCTGGTTGTTCTGCTTACGTTAATCCAGCTTCCCTGTCCCCCTGATCTTCTAGGTACCCCCCATGCTTTGGGGTAAATGTTGACCGTTTTGTCTCATACAGATGATTTTTTTTTTTTTTTTTAAAGGAGCACAGTACTTACGGGTGATACTGTTTATTTTATGAGCCAATTTGTTAGTTAGCTGAAAGGTGACTTCCGGGAGCAGTTTCAGTTCAGGGTTTAAAGGGTATCTCAGGGCGATAGTCTCGAGGGTTCCTCTAGTCTCGGGATGAATATATATATTTTTTCCTTTTTTCGCGATGGATATTTTTAAGGCTCTTGATATATATAGCTGTTTTTTCGGTCTGTCTTTTTCCCTGCCCTAAAGCAACCTATCGAGTTATACTCCTACCAGCAGTACCAAGTGTCTATCTCACTGTTTCTCTGCCAGCATGGAGTGTCTTTAAAATTTTTTCTAATTTGAAAGGCGAAAAACGGGATCTCGTTTTAATTTGCGTTGTTTTTGTTTTTTGTGTGGCTGGACCTCATTTTTATTACCAGCTATGCTTCTTTTGAGAATTTGTTGTTCACATCCTTTGCCCACTTATCTACTGTTTTATTCATGTTTTTTATTCATATGAGCTGTCAATGGTATTAATTAGCCTTTCCTCTGACATGTATGTCATATATACTTTTTAAAAAATCAATTTGTTGTTTTGCCTTTTAATTTTGGTCGCTTTTCGATTTCTGAAGTTTAAAATTTTTTATGGAGTGAAATTTACAGATTTCTTTCCTCTTTGTCTGTAGTTTTCCACTGCTTTTAAGTTTCGAGAGGCCCCTCCATCCAAAGTGAACTAAATAGTCATCTATAATTTATTCTAAGTTTTCAGTGTTCTGCTTGGTTTTTAATGTAGTTAACTAGTTACTCCCTCCGGAATTTATTATCTGGTAAGGAGTAAAGTGCTAAACTGATTTTTCCTCTTTAAATAACTAACAAATTATCCCAAGACCATTTACTGAATAAGAGCTCCCTTCCGTGGTGGGTTAATCTGCAGAAGGCAGTATCTGCTGTTCTGTCACTGCCCAGCTCCGAGGCTAGGCCCCAGCACTCTCCCTCACACAGTGAAACTGAGTCATTTCATCGGCTCAGCTCTCAGCCGGTGAAACCAGGAAATGAGAGAAAGAAAAACAGTTATCTTCTTCAAGGATTCAGATAAAGATAGTAAATTGTACTCAAATCCCAGACAACCATTCCCTTGTTTCTGCTTGTGGGAGTTTCACAGCCAGACCCCCTGGAGTGCACACTGTCAGCAGAAGGCTCTAGAAATGGTAAATATTAACTGGACACTGGGGGCCCAAGGAGGAAGAGGGAGGCTTAGTGACCAGTATCCAATCTTCCACTGTAACACCGGTTGGTTCTGACACCACAGGATCTCAGCCGCTCACCTCGGTGCGCCAAGGTTGTGTTACGTGCTACAACGTCACACGAAAAAGGAAGGAAAGGTGACAAAAGGCAGCAAGGAGACTACAGAGCATTTGCTTCCCAGGGGGTCGTGGTTCTGAGCCCAACTTACTGACTGCTCTTCAGAGTCGGACGTCTGGGATGAGATGATGGGGTTAAAGCCGCCTGGGGACAAGGGGCCCAGCTTTTTCCTCATGGCTCGGATCTGGAGCAGTGCCCGGAAAGCTGTGAAGAAGAAAGAAGCAATCAGGACATCCTGATGCAGGAGAAGGATGAATAAGAACCCAGACAGAAGCCAGGAGGATCGCTCCTCCCAGGCATGCACCGCTTTGCCAGAACCCAGCAGCGGCCTGCGTCTCAGTGTCTGCAGACACGTGGCCTCACTCCCACCCGCGGCATCCGGTGCTTACGGAGCCGGCAGATGGGGCAGTTGTTGGCCTGGTAGCGCAGGGTGTCTGCACAGGTGTTACAGAGGCAGAGGTGGCGGCAGGGCAGGATCAAGGTGTCCCGGACATCTGAGAGACACACCACACACTCGGCGCTGTTATCACTCACTTCGTCCTCAGCCACCTGCCAGGGAAACAGAAAGTTTGCCAGTGGCACAAAGACCTTCACGCCACACACTCTACTGACAAGGCAGCCTGGCTGAGGAGCTGAGGCAAGTACTACGCACAAATCTTACATTTACATTGGACTTTACAGTTTACCAAGTGCCTTCACATACTGAGTTTCACTGATTCTGGGGAATGGTTACGGGAAGCTGGGAGGCTGGGACTGGCAAGCTCACCATCTAGGGCTCAGCTCTGATCTGCTCTGACAGTCTGAGCTGAAGGGACCCAGGAGACCGCAAAGCTACAGGTGGAGGGGCAATGAAGGAACCCTGCTGGCAAACTGAGCTGAAAAGAGCACCCCAAACCAGCTCCCAGCCTATTTTTGCCAAAGTGAACGAAGTATAAACCATCTGAAATGAGGAACAAGAAAACACCCTCCTGGGACCTAACTGATTCCAGAGTTTGCACACGAAATTCCTAGATCCTGGCTCAGAACAATATGCAAGGACAGAGTCCCTGGGTGGCGCAAATGATTAACGCGCTTGGCTGCTAACTGAAAAGTTGGTGGTGGTTCGAGTCCACCCAGAGGTGGCTCAGAGGAAAGCCCTGGAGATCTACTTCCAAAAAATCAGCCAACAAAAACTCTGTGGAGCCCAGTTCTACCGTGACACGCATGAGGTCAGAGAATTTCTTACTCTGCCTCCAAGGAAGAGCTCATTTGGAATTTTGGATAAAACCCACCTTAGAATCTTGTGTGTTGTACTTGTTTTCAATTCCATAGATCTCCTGGAGGAGGTAGCTGACCCCATCTACCTGGAGAGCGGACAGAAAAGGTCAAGGGCAGGCTGGCCCTACTGAAAGGCAAGAGTGGGAACACTCCCTGACCCTCCCTGGGTAACCAAGGACTACTGACTCACAATGGAAAAAAATCAAAGGCCTGGACAAGCAAAGGGTGCTTTTCTTTACTTATGTTTTCTCTTTGAGAGAAGAAAATAACCCGATGTTTAATTCATCCACCATTATGTTCCACAGGGACCATGAAACTTCACCAAACAATAAAGCTTGTACTGCAGCCCCTATCATGGCCTGCTGAGAAAGGCAGAGACTGGAAACAGGGACTGATTGTTTGCGTTTGCATGTGGTAGGCAGTGGAGTTACAGGTAATTTTTTTCTTCATTTTGCTTATCTGAATTTCTAATCTGTATACCGTAAGCATCAGCTATGTAATAAAATTTATGCTTAGACATAACAATAAAAGCAGGACCCTTAGACACCCTTCAAACTTAGAACTGAACACACTCCTGGAGATCACATCACAGCCGAACAACAGACAGGCCTGTAAAGTGACCAGCAACAATGGAGAGGAATGTGCACCTCAGCGCAATCAACCATATGAGACCAAAATGGCGCCATCTGCCCAAAGGCAAAGTTCAGAAGGCAGGCAGGGGCAGGAAAGACGGGCGACTAGAAACAGGGAACCCAGGGAGGGAGAGAGGAGAGTGCTGGCACATGGTGGGGACTGCAACAATGTCACGGAACAAGCCGTACATAAATTGTTGAATGAGAAACTAACGTGCTCTGTAAGCACCTAGACCACAATAAAGTGTCATAACAAAAAAATAAAGGCAGGAAAAAAAAAAGAGACAGAAAGATGATGTGGGCAAGGAAAAAGAGAGGGAGGGAAAAATGTAGAAGCAAAAAGAGACAGCAAGATCTTGAAGCAGTGACCAATTCAGCCCTGGGTGGTCCACCCCCGCAAACACGCAGCAAAATCGCCGCTCTTGGGCATCTGTTTCCTAAAACCCAATGTCCAGTGCCCCACCCCTCCCACCAGCCTGGGACATATCGGTGCCAAAGTTGGCTCTTCCCTTGTTTCCTTTCGGCGAGCCAACTCCTCTCATCTGCCCAGCCTCTGAGCCTACTGATCCCCTCCCCTAAGACCTAGCCTCTCACCGACTTCAATTCCTACTCTCCAGTTTGAAAGTCATTGCTAACGCCAGTCTTGCAGCAAGAAGACAGATAAAACATTTCCCTTCAGCCATCCTACCTGTCTCAGTCATCTGGTGCTGCTTTAACAGAGATACCA